TGCATCAAATATAATTCCATATGGTGAAAATCTCTCCAGTCACAGCCTTTAATATCATTATTATAATTGAAGATTATTTGAGGGTGATTGACCTTTTCGGTTTTTCATTATAATCATTATTTGAATTAGGCTGCAATGGCAATATTATGAATATTTTTTTTCAATCGGTAATGTATTTCGAAACATCAGCTGAGTTGAGGCTTTATAATTATCGCAACTACAAGAATTCTCGAAAACTCACGAGACGAACTTCTCTGTTTAAAATCAGTTCCGCAAATTATTCTTTTTTTAATTTGAATGGATTTATAATTTTATTTCTTCAGATTCTTCAATCACTGCAATTACGCGAAGAATCTTTTTCACACAAAAATTATATATTTTCTCAGCATTACCACAATATAAAATCATCCACAGATTATTTAATTTAAATATGATCTCAAAATTGTTCTCATGAATTCAGTTTCTAGGCCGTTCAAGTAAATAGGAGCAATAATAAGCGGAGAACAAAGAAAAATCCAAATATCATTGGACAGTACCTAAGATACAAATGAAATCAGTGCCTACAATTTCATAAATGATAATAATTCACCCGACAAAATGGAGGAATATTTTCAATACACTGACTACTCATAGACGTCATTGACACATATGAAGAGATAGAGGAGAAAAAAACATAGTAAAATATCAGCCTGTTTTTTTTTAATCAGGGCACAACGTTCTTAGCTCCAAACATTATTTCTCATTCGATAATAGGCTGTTAGGTTTGTCTTTGATAGATACGTAGCGGATCGAAATTGCGCATGACAACACACAAATGAACGAACAAAAAGAACGTCTTTAGTTTTGTTCTGATCATCAACTACATGAATGAAATTACAGTTTTTTTTCATCACCAGCACTGAAATTTATCAAGATTTTGGAGCTAATGAGCTGATATAGTTTGAAGTATGTCTCCAATACTATCGTTGATATCATAGTGAACTACTGATTTGTAGGTTGTTGGCAGGTCGAAATGCCTTCTATGATATGTTTCGTAAATTAATTTTAGTCATTTCAGATGCTGACTATTATTTTGCAGAACTGTCATTTTTTTATTTTGATGTTGGTCATTCAAGCTAATGGGAAGATTTCTGTTCAGATATAATAACTTAGTAGTTGTCTAATCTGATGCTGAAAGTATTGCTTCATAACAAAAGAAGATGTTCTGTTGTTCATTTGCCAGAGGATAATCCTCACGTTGCTTTAGGTTTTGGAAATTGCGATGGCTGACTGTTCTGAAACTATACACTTTTGAATTATTCTTAGATCTTTACAAAATGTTTTGATAGCATCACCATGGACGTAGAAAAATAAATGGACTCAGTTATTTACCTCATTAAATGAAGCCGGTGAATGGGAGCATTCTAAGATCACGATGTGGATATGGACGTTGCCATATTGAATCCGTGATAATTCTTTAATATCACCAATGCTGTGCGGAACTTCAAAACTAACAAATTACATTCAACAGCATGAAGTTATGACCTCTATCATGAGGTTAAAATAGACATCAAACATTTCAGAACCTAAACTAGTGCCACATTCACTTCGAAAATATTTGTCATTACCATATAAATCGGCACAGTTCGTTACAAGTGAACTCGTGGCAACACTGTCGAATTTGTCGTTTGGAAGCCTACTACCTGCCTTGCAGTGATGCCAATTTGCCAGTAATTACTGCATTTGCAAGTAATCCGATTATTCAGAAACTAAAATGCAGTAATAAAGATATGCAAGGAATTTGTAAGGACTTTCGATATTCTGCAAGGATTTTGGATATCTCTCTTTATATTGATATATTTAGTGAGAGAGAGAGAGGGAAAGAGAAACAGTTGATTGAATA